CATAGATATATTTTTAGAAATTGAAAGGTCCTATCTAGCAGAATTTCTGCTGATAAAAGAGTGGGTTCGCCGAAAGTTTAGTTACTTCCATGCCTTACCATCGAAGGTGGAACATTCACCTAAAATCCATTTATGGTTGTCTCATCGCCCTCAAAACAAAATTGGCATCCATATGCAGCAGACAGATCTACAATATATGTATGTATCTATACTGAGCTACCAATAAATTCTTGCAACCAATTTTGCAAAACTACACTTCTACATTATATCCTTAAGCTCTTCTGCATTTCTCGCTAAACTGCTATGAATTTTTTCACTTAACAACCACGCTGCGTTTGCCAAGAACGCATTGCATTCGAGCAAGCAAAAAAATGCATCCACTGAGTGTAACTACTCAACTTGCGCTCGAAAGGCTGCCAAAACAACTGGATGAGTCATGAAGCCACCAACCACGCCTAACTATGCACATATGTATGTATGTATGTATGTATGTATGTACATACATAAACAACGATTTGGCCAAAATCCAGCTGTCTGAGCGAGACATTTAACTGCACTTTTATTGCAGCAAAAGAATAAGAATCGGCGATGTAATAAGAGATATGTATGTAATTTATCTTTTTTACTGCAAAACCATTTCCGTTAACAAAACTGAAGTGCAAAAATACGACGCATAGAAGAAAAAGTGCTAAATTCGTGCTTCAAAAATATTCTATACAGCAAGGACTGACTATCGTCCTCGCAGAACAAAAATTTCGTTGAGGTCAGACACTTTTGCATGTCAAAGGAAAGTACATAAATACAACGAACGCTTTTTGTGCTAACAAAATATGTACAGGAACACATACATACATACATACACCTGCGCGCTTAAACTCTGTAAGCGACATAAACTTCAATTTGTCCAATCAAGTTTCTACAAATATCCCACGCTTACATATATGTAACTACAGATACAGTTACAGTGTACATGTATACACGCGTATACGATTTCCATGGCTACACGCAATAGCTCGCCCACGCCACGAAAGCGCCCCCGAACGAGAATGGCCATGGCAGCCCGCGACCCCACTGCTAACCCTTAACTCGAAAGAGCCTTGAAAAAGTTCATAATGCTGTGGAAATTGATTTCACAATTGCAACAAAAAAAGAAAAAAAAACAGGCAACAACACAACAATGAAGGAGTTAATAAATGATGTTGCAAAAGAAGCTTGCAGAAAAAGGTAAAAAAGAAAGCACGCCACAAAAGAAGAATGCAAATGAAAGTGGAATTGAATGAATGAATAAAAAGCTCTTCTCAGCTTCTTGTCATCATTGATCTTCCATTTGTATGCATGTACTTATGTGGGCATGTTTGCGTGTATGTGAGTAAATAGAAAATTCTATTCAATATATTTTTGATTTATTGCTGCTGATTATTTAACAAAAATGCGAATTGTGTCAGAGTAACAACTACATATTGATTTTATTATTTTGCTGAATCAAGCAGAAGTTGTGAATGTATATAAGAAAGAGCAAAAGGGAGAAAAATCATTTGTCATGACGGAGTGTGCGATTGCGCTTTCCATTAGATACGCTCGGAGTGATTTAACTAGAGCCACGTCTTCACAAAAAAAAATCCTATAACTATCAGCAGTGGTTTGCTACGGGCTCTGCGAATTTCTAGATAAATGATAAGTGTGCCTAAGAATATGCAACGTCTCTAGAGTAACATTATCTGCCTTTCTGCTGTGGTATTGCCCCTCTTTGGCTTTCATGTTGCATATTTTTCGGCGCATTTACTAGTCATTGTTTAGAGGTTTCCGAGCGTAGAAGTTAAGCGCTAAGCTTTTAAAATCCCACTTCTGATTTTTGGAATACACTTTTGGTAAAATGATATCTTCTGTTTAATACAAAGTGTGTCCGATGATGAGCTAAGTATCATATATGAATTTAGAATCAAAAAAAAAAAATACAAGCAGTTTTTGGACACTAGGAAACTTGGAATCTTAGTTTGCTGCTAACCCTTAAAATATCACCTTATTAACAGATAAAATAGTATCTGTTTGGAAATATATTCAGTGCAAATATTCGGTTACTCAATGTATGGTTAACACTAACTACAGGTTAAACATCGTTATCGACCTACTATTATATGTTATGAAGTTTAACGATGTTAATCCTGTAGTTAGGGTTGCGACATTGTTTCCTTTCACATATATAGCAGTTGTCAGACGGTGTATTTTGATCCTAGGTGTTCAGAAAACAAATATAATGCCTCGTACTTAAATTCTATACTGGCTCAGTCCTCTCCCTTTCCTTGGGCAATTATCGAAGATCAATCTTAAGGCAAGCCTATTCCTAAATTCAAGTTTTCAATTTGAGTACACTGCTTTGTGAATATTTTATCAAATCAAAACATATGTACCGACTTCACCAACTATCCACCAACTAGTTTACCTTGATCTTTAATTTTCGTTTTCCCCCATGACCATAGAAATGAGAAAGGGTAAGTCAGTATCACAAAAAACTGTCAAAGACCTTTCTTACAACTTCAAAAGATTCTCTAGAGAATCAATACTGTCGTTATTTCCACGGATTTTTGCAAAGAATCATGTCTACAGGAGATTACAAAACTCTGCACAAAAAAAATGTACAATATTTAAAAATATATATATATATTTTGTAAAATATTTAAAAATATATATATATTTTGTAAAAATGTACAATATTTACGTCTAAAATTATATACTAAAGCTCGGAACACTTTGACGACTGCAACTTCACGACGTAACGACAGCGACATCATTTTGTCGACAAATGTCGCCTTGAAGCTAGCTTCTTAAACATTTTGAAGACCTCAGCGACATAGCAAACCGCTGATTTTAAAGTTTGACATTTTGGTATATTTATTTCACAAATTGTGTATTTTTATTTAAATAAATAAGAAAAACATGAACAATCAAGAATATGTGATTAATTTTGCGACAATTTAATTTTGCAGCACTACATCTACTCATTGTCGTCGGCAAAATTAGAAATAGATTTAATATGGCGACGTCGACAATTGCAGTCCTGCAGCCAAGATGTCGTGCTGTCGTCAAAATAATTGTGTCCGTAAGAACGTGTGTATTTAAAATTTGACAGATGCTGCTTGTCGCTTGCTGTCGTCAAAGTGTTCCGAGCTTAAGAGATGTAATATGAAAGCTTTTCACTTTGCAGGTTTGCGTCTTGGATTGTTGAATATTTTTAAGCACAATTTTTTCACAACTAAAGAAGTAAATTTGGAGTATCGCCAAGGCGAAAATATGAACCCTGAGAGAATCACTCCAAAGTAACAACTAGGCTTACGGCATGAGGACGACTATCTTGCCTTATCTTAGCAACTACCAGCGGGACTCTGAAGCTGCTGTCCAACGCTGAGAGGTCGGACTAGCTTTAGACTGAACCAAAGAGCTGTTAAAATACCCCAAACTGTTACGAAGCCAAACCCTAGCTACCGCGAGTTTGGAGATCATTTTTGTCACTAATGACTCTACTACTAGTTATTTGAATTGGAATATAAGGCTAACGCATAATGAAGCGGCGAGCAAAGCGATGAGCATAGCATCGAGCAAAGCGTCAATTACAAACGTGTTTGTACACTTTGCTCTTCACTATGTGCGCTCCCTCTGAAACATATACGTTAGTAATCGACGCTTTGCTCGATGCTCTTTGCTCGCCGCTCCACTAAGCGCCTAGCCTAAAACTTTCCTTTTTTTAAGTCTGTATTCCAGCACATCTGCAATGAAATACCAAATCTAAGAAATGCAAGAAAAGTGGTTTATATATCTCCCAGATTTACTAGTTTTAAAGAGCTTTGAACCATAGTCCTAGGTATCAACGTAAATTTTTTTTAAGTAAAAATTTGCGGGTACTTCAAGAAAATTCTGTATGCAACCTTTCTGCAACCCAAACACTCATAAACACGTCGCCTTCCCCCTCTCCTAACAGCGGTAAACCAACTACTCATTTACAACAATGTTTTCCAGCTCGTAATTTCTTGTGTCTCTTTTGTAGGCACATAAAAGTTATTTTATTACCATTTTTTTTTGCACTCGAAGCATTTTCGACACTCCACGAGCACGTCGCGGCGAGTGGTGGACGGCGGCCGCATATTTGTAAGCCAAATTCAAACGAGCGAAAATGTCATTTCTCCTTTAACAATAAATGTAGACAATCCCTATGCGCAATTTGGCTGTTGCTTACTTTCTACCCAGTTTTATGGCTTTTTATTTACTGTAACAGCAACCCCTGGTCAACTTTCTCTGGGAGCTACGCGAAGGGCGAGCGCGGGGTATAAATGAGTTTCAAAAAATATTACCACTGTCGCTGGTCACCACAAACGCAGGACTTATAAGCAAAGGCAAACCAAACAGAAAAAGAAAACGAAAAACAACAATTGTAACAAAAGCAACAACAACATAAGCAACCAAACGAGTAAGGACCAACGGAGCATTATAATTATTTCAGTGACCACAACAAGAGACAAAACAACTACAACAACGATAATCACGAAGCATATTGAAACGAAAAGACAGTGCAAGCAACAACACCGAAGCAAGCATAAATAAGAAACCAACCAAGCAATAAAAACAACAGCATTACAAGTGAAGCAAAAGCAGAAGCAGAAGAAGAGGCAGCAATGGCGGTGAGCAAAAAAGGTCATAAAAACGACGAAGCATCAGGGCAAACGGTAAAAACCGACAGCCCAAACGACGTTGCGAGCGACGATGATGGTGAGTGAAGCCTGAAAGGTGAACGGAAAGCAGCAAAGGCAAAGTGCGGAGTTGTTGGTACGGCGCGCTGCGAGTTCTCGCAGGACATTCGAGGCATAGTCAGTTTGGAGTACATACCACACTTTTGTATATATGTAAGTACTTATGTATATATACAGATACACTTATACATAAACAAACGGCTATACTTACACATGTACATACATATGTGAGGATTTTATTAATAATCATGACTCACTCACCTGTACATTTAGGCAATTTGTCGCACAGATGACAGTTAAAGCCAGCAGGCCAAGACTGAATTTTCGCGATTTTAACATTTTTGCACAATGTTTTTTGTTTTTGAAATTTTTATTCGCTTTTGGAGTCTAACAAACTATTGTTTTTGTTATTGTTTTTTTTTTCACGAAAGTTTAAATGGTTTTCACTGTATTTGAAGGATTTAAAGTTTTTGCAGAAAGCATTAATTTTTATGGAAACTTAGAAAAAATCTCTCGAGAAAGTTTATAGCAACGGAATTAAATTTAAATAATTACAAAGTTAAGAGCAAAAACTTAAAAAACAGAAATTACCTTTTTAAATTAAATTTTTAGATAAGAAATTAATTTAAATAATTTCAGTTAGTTATGTTTTATTTAAACACTACAAGGCTTTTGTAACAGGAAAATTTTTGCACAAAAGTAGAAGTATGTAATACAAAAAAAAAAATTGGAAAATTTGTTTTTGCAAATTTAGTAAAAAGTATTAACAATCTTCTTGTAATTATCTAAGAAAATTTTTAGGCAAAGTTTTTATTCTAGAAAATTATTAGATAATTAATTTAACCGAAAAAAAGTAAAAATATTTATACAAATTAAATATATAGATTTAAAAAAAAAACTTAAGATTTAAGCTCCAAAACTATTTTTATAAAAAAAATACATAAATTCAATTTTCATTCAATATTTTTTAGATTTTTCTCGGTTCGTTTTTATTAAAGTTTACAAAGGCTGATATTTGTGTTATGAGTCTTTCAGTCTAATAACTTAAATCTATTATCATTTCGTTGGTTAAGCTGCGTTAAAAGTTTTATTTCGGCACACAAATTTAAATATTTCACTTTTCAGTAAGATCTTTTAGGAACCTTTTTTTTAAACTTTTGCCGCACTGTCAAAATTTCAAGAATGAGTATTTCGAACTTTGAGTTTTTCAGTTTCGAGTTTTCCCAAAAATTTTCAAAAACACAGAAATGTCGAATTTCACTATGCGCCCAAAAGTATGCAACGATTTTCAAGTGTAAAACTAAAGACTCTGGCGCAGACACAACGCAATTAACTTAGCTCGCTGATTTTTAGCTGCAAATCGTTTGTCTTGGCTGCCGCGGCCACTCAATAGCACTGCAGCACGAACACCGCCAACTACTTAATTCAACACTTCTTGCATTTTTTTTTGCTTTCGTTTTATTTAATATTTGCACAATTTTCGTATTTTCCACAAACTTCTGCCGTCTGCACTTTTTAGTAGTTTTTTCTGCAACTATTACTTTGTTTTTGTTGTTCGTCGTTGTGGCTCGACTGGTTACGCACAGCAAGCAGCGGTTGCTCGCTTAAATAATATGAAAAAAATCGAAACTGTCAGTCACACCCCTGAACGAGAAAAATGTGTGCGACATCGCCGCCACTGCCCCGCTTGCTGCATACTTTTGCGGCGTCGCTTGGGGACGAACAGACTTGGCATGAAAAATTTTGAAGTATTTTCAAGCGTTTGTGGAAAATTTCAAATTGTTATGTAGCCAATTTTCAGGCGCAGATTTACACGAATGATATAATTTGTCGCTGCGAGTTTATCGTTTTACAGTCAATGAAAATTGAAGCAGTGAAAAAACTCCAGTTCGAAATTGGTGGCCTCTTATGCAGCAGCAGAAAAAATTCCAATTCACACTTTTACAAAATTCTCCTGCCCACCAATTACTAACCGCTGTCACAGAAATTAGTTTTCACAACACTCGTAGGCTTTATTTTTCAAGTCTTCAGTTAATCCACTTTAGTTTTTGGTAATTTATCGCTTTTTGCCCATTAGCAAATTGCGAATTGTTTGCTTTAATAAAGTAAATTGAAAGAAAATTAATTTTTTCTTTGCTTACTCTGCAATCAACTCATTCGGTTGTTCGCCCGTTCGTTTGCTACGCTTCGGTTCGTTTGAATGAAACTCTTACAAATGTCGACAACGACAGTTTGGTGTATGGAAAAATTTTGCATTTAGCCATCACCTTTAAGGCTGTCAGCCGCAGTTAGCGTCCTTCTGCGCAGACGTCGCTCTCCAATACCGTTAGCTGTGCGAATGTGTGGAATGTAAGTGCAAAATTCAATATTTACATCGAATTCGAATGGGGTGTTTTTGGTTTCGCAGGGTTGATTTTTATGAAGGCGCTACAAAATTATAAGAAATTTTTTTCGTTTTTTAAACAGGAGCTCGAAATCTTCTGGAAATAATTTCGGCTTCACCAATTTTCGATTGCCTTCTATTTTGGACATACTTTTAGGCATCAAGACCCTCGGTTAAACTATTGTTGAAGAAGAATTGGCTAAGAAATAATTTGCTTAAAATAAGATATCCGTTCCGTATATATTTTAGAGAAAAAGCTTTGATAATCAAAAGTTACTATTATTAAATCGACCTACATATAGAGAAGTAATACTCAGAGAGAGCTTTTACTCTGTGCGCGTGCATATAAAAACTACAGAGAGCTGTGAGGAGCTCCGCCAACGGGCGCTGTTTTGACCATCACTGATCCATACAAATGTATAGAAAGCTTAAAAGAGCTTTGCCCGTGGGCAAGGCGGTGCCCATCACCGGTCTATACTCATTCTATAGAAAACTGGAAAAGCTCTGATCGCTGGATATCTTTGAGTATGATTGGATTAGATAGAATTATTTTAGGCGTTTACGATGATCGAAGCGCTTCGAACCTGCCATGACAACATCATTATGATTAGACCAGAGCTACCGGGCTTTTTAAGTTTTCTTAAAAAATGTATACATTTCATATAAAGGGTGATGCAGTTTTTTTAAAAGCAATTATTTGTGACACGTTAATGTCTTTTTTTTTTAGACAATTTATGCCCAACTTTTACTGGTCTAAATTAGATGGAATGGACTTCGTCAATATGTAGCTTCACAGCGCATGAAACAATGGTCCTATAGCCAACATCTGCGGTCTCATTGAATCGCCGTATAGATGAGCACAAGGCAAAAGCTCTGTCTGGTCAACACACGCTTGGAAACCATGACATTTTGTAAAATACAGTAGGAGAGCTTGAAATGTAGAAATTTTAAAGATTTTCGAACATAATTTGCGGTATATACACACTGCATATGTACATATGTAGATATGTCGATATGTTTTGGTTTTTTTCGAAAAGCGATTATTATGTACATAAAACGAATTATTAAGCCAAAAAGTGTCAACACTACAGTAGAGCGTGTTAAAAATAGCTTGAGAGCGGACAGCTGGAAAGAGACCTACCAAACGAACTGCAGATAAAGAAGGAGCGCACAGTAGGCCGCGTGAGCGCAGGCAGGCGCACATCCGCCATGCTCTGCCATTCAAGGCATGCGCAGTGCAAATGCATTCCAATAACAGGATATGAGTAATAACGACTGTCATTCATAATGGAGATGTTTATACACATATGCAGTGCTTATATACTAACTCACACACTCAGAATATAGGCTGAATGTATATGTGTTTGGCGAAGAAAGATATATCCTTTTTTCGGAGAACAATTCATTTTGAAGTTCATGCCAATGTAAACTTTCGCAATTTAATAGCTTTGCAGAGAAGCTTTAGAGCTTTTACACTCTTCGAAAAGCAATAAAAAGCACAAAGCACAATTTATTTAGCATAGGAATGCCATTAAGTTAAGAAAATTGAACGAAAATTGGTATTAAGTGCTCGTAACGGAAATTATTTTTTCTACAAATTTACAATCCTGTGCCTACTGAAAACACCTTTTAATAAAATTTGAATATTTCACACATTTTCTCTTGATATGCGGTAATCGACTTCTGTTGTAACCAATTCCCAACAATCGTAATTAAGACAAGTAAAACACTAATAAAACAAACGATTAAAACATGCTAACGAAATATGAATGCATTCAACTGTATACTTATGTATATGCAATACTTACACATGAATTATGTGCTGAGCAAATGCGAATTTAAAATAAAAGTAAGAAGTATATTTTCAGATTACTAAAATATTTGCATTGTGCATAAAGTTAGGAAAGCAACATACATACATAACTGCTAATCAAAATATTTATAACTTAATTTCTGGTTAATGCTACACTAAGAGGCGCTACAACAGCACTGGAGCATGACTTACACGAATTGCGTGGCTCTAATCAATTATCACACACTGAGTTGGCGGGAAAGCAAAGAGAGGTTGGCAGAGGGTGTTGGACAAAAAAAGATGTTTGGGAAAATAAAAAGATTGGTAGTGAAAGAGCGCATGAAAAATAGGCAATGACGATATATCTTAAGGGTCTCCTCACCAGTTTTTTATCCACTACAATTGATTAATTTCAAATTATTCAAGACTTTGTATTTGAGAGCGGTTTACACATGTTGTATACATATATAGATATATATGGGTGTTTCCATGAAGTGGTCCACCGTGACTTAAAAAATCAAAACGCTCGCAGAATTTTTATAGGCACAGAAAACAGAAGAAAAATGTTGATATTTTACTATGTAAAAAAATTTTCAGCTCTTTATAATTTTAAATTCCAAAAAATTTTAGGCAAAACTTATAACTTTTTTATTCACTTTAAAAGCTGTAGAATGTATTACTTTTAATTGCTGCTGACGAAATAAATATATATGCAATATCGCAGTTTGGTATATAAGTAGTTGATACAACTACAAATGAATATAAAAATGAGAGAAGAGATCAAACTGTGCATCAATAACGGTATTTTTTCATTTCTATTTCGGCAACATTCGTATGTCACGTGCGTAATGCAAAAAAGCTACATAGTGCCATTATTAGCGCATTATCAGTTAAAGTGTCTTGTTCTTTTGTTTGTTAATCAAGTTTATTGTTTACTAAAATAATATATTAATATAAATAACCATCGGAAAAATTAAATTTTTTTTTTACTTTTGAACTTTGTCACGTGCGTAATGGTAAGTACGAAAAATGTAATACTCTTTATTAAAGTCCATTTGATAAGTATTATTTTACTTTTACAATAAATATTAGATGTCAAATAATGCCAAAAACCAAAATCGGTGGAGGGAGAGGCTTAAGCAAGATGAAAATAAGCTTAAAGAACATAAAAAAAAACAAGCTGAAAGAATGCGTGAATATCGCAAGAGAAAGGCATGTGAGGCCAAAAATAATTCAAGTATATTGAAAGAAAAAAGGAATAGAGATTGCGTTCGACAACAAAAGTGTAGAGCAACCAAGAAAATATCAAATACCCAATTCAAAAGTGGTTACAAGTGTAAACAAACACTAGGAAAAGCTATAAAGAAGGTAGAGAAGGCGTTACCAATGAACGAAGTAAAGAGAGATGAAGTTCTACAAGCTTTGTATAAAAAGTATCCCAAACTCTCGAATAATGAAGCTGAGACACCAGTATGTTCAAACGATAATATGTTGGAAAAAATTAAAGCAGTCCACGAGTTTTATATCCGAGATGACATAAGTGTTCAAGCTCCCGGCCGGAAAGATACTTTAATCTGCAATAAGCAAGTAGTTGCAAAGCGCTTTATGATTGTATCTGTATCAGAAGCTTATCAACTGTACAGAAGAGAGGTCCCTTCAGAATATCTTTGTAAATCCCAATTTTTTAACCATAGACCCAAACACGTTAAATTAATGGACCAACTTCCGCACAATATGTGTGTATGTAAATACCATGCGAACTTCGGATTTTTGCTAGAGGAATGTCATAAAGCTATGCCTCAGTTTCCATCTCATTTTGAAGATTTTTTGAAAGTAACATGCTGCAATGTATTGGACGAAAAATGCATGATTAGTGACTGTGAGAATTTGATTTTTAACCAAAATGGAAGAAAATGTTAATTGGAGCTATTGGAGAAAAGTTAATGATCGCTTAATATTAAGCTATACTATAGCGCCATTATCAGATTTGTTACATGAACTGGAAATTCAGCTGCCAGCTTTTAAACTTCATTATTTTATAAAGCGCGACCAGGAAAAATATTTCAAGGAAAAAAAGAACAATTTACGTGATGATGAATTAATTTTGCAAATCGATTTTGCAGAAAACTATCGGTTGATCAATCAGAATGAGGTCCAAGAAGCTCACTTCAGCTACCAACAAGTTACTATTTTCACTTGCGTTGCATGGCTTCGAGGTCAAACTGAATGTATTGCTGCTATTAGTGACAAACTTACCCACAACAAATTTGACGTCTATTGTTTCCTTACAAAAAATGTGCACAAAATTCAAAGTCAATTCGAAGGAATTTCCACGGTTTTCATATTCTCTGATGGCAGCACAAGTCAATTCAAAAACAAATATATTCTCACCAGCATTCCTTCGTTTGTGAGCGAATTTGGCTTAAAGCATTTAGAGTGGAACTTCTTTGCCACTTCGCATGGCAAAGGAGCAGTCGATGGAGTAGGCGCGGTGGTGAAGCGAAAAGTTTGGCAAGCGGTTAAGACAAATAATATTATTTTACCGGATGCCTTTGCATTTTATGAATGCGCTGGCAAAATCATCGAAGGAGTTCGTCTGTTATATATCTCATCAAAAGAGATTGAAGAATTTTCTACACCATTAAATGAAAAATGGGAAATTGTCCGCTCCATTCCAGGAATACAAAAAATGCATTGCTTTTCCTACCAAGATAACGAAAATATAAATGTTGCTCGAACAGCATACTCACTTAAAGAAACAATTAAATTGGATTAATTTTGCAGTACCTTAATTTTTATTTTGTATTTTCCATTTTTGAATAAAAGTTTAATTTTTTTGTCAAAAACTTTTGAAAATATATGTAAAATTATTAAAATATGTATGAAGGAAAAAAGTGTCACATGCGTAATGTCACGTGAGTAATCAATAATTTTTTTTTTTTAAGCCAACCCTTGATCAGCTGTTTTCGAAGCAAACATTATTATGAAGCTCCATTATTAACCTTTATAAAAAAAAATTTACCGGAACAAAAATCTCCTACAATTCGCTTACTTTCGCAATTTTTCTCCCGG